ACATGTCGCCAGTTTCATGAGGAAGTGTACATCATTAAACTTGCTGGCAAGATCGTTCCCCTCCTCCTCCAAGAAGATTCTGATCTCATCTTTAAGCGCCAGCACCCTGGACTGTACTTTTCCGCGAGAGAGCCATCGGCACTCGCTGTGAAAAAGAACAGCTGTGTACTCGGAGCCCATCCACTCGCACAATGCGGAAAAAAGGCGAGCTTTCAGTGGTCTTGTTTGATGTAATTGACGGTGGTTAAAACATCGGACAAAGCGGCATTAAGCTCCGGACTCAGCTGATTTGACGCGAGTGCCTCTCTGTGTATTATAAAGTGCGTCCACACTGCTCTCGGTGCAACGCGCTTGATGAGCGCCTGTAGCCCTCCCCGTGTTCCTGNGACAGCACTTTTTCCCCGAGAGAGCCATCGGGACTCGCTGTGAAAAAGAACAGCTGTGTACTCGGAGCCCATCCCCTCGCACAATGCGGAGAAAAGGCAAGCTTTCAGTGGTCTTGTTTTGATGTAATTGACGGTGGTTATAACATCGGACAAAACGACCTTAAGCTCCGGACTCAGCTGCTTTGACGGCCGTGTTAAAAACGTCTCCATTTTGTAGATTTATTTTCGAGCAGTGTTTGTTTACAATTTCTTCCCGCGCCCCCCCCTGCATAACCTCCATACAGTTTGAAAACCACTGGTGTAGTTGCTATGAACTCTCGCCCTAATACATGCTGGGAAATGTTCCAATGAGCTGGGGCATATAAAATGGATGCAGTGTTGAGTGTGCTGACCTGTCCAGGTATTGCAGCAGGTCGGTCTCCGGCCCGTCGGGCAGAACCAGAACCTTCCTCAGCAGAGGCAGCAGCTGCGCCCCCTCAAACCACGAGTTACTGTTCCCCGGCTAAGGAAGGAAGGAAGGAAGGAAGGAAAGGAAGGAAGGAAGGAAAGAAAGATGCTTTGTATAAGACATTTTGGACTACAGTACACAACCATAATGTAGCTCTTAGTTCAGCATCAGACCTGCAGCGCAGCGTCGATCTGATTCTTGATGTTTTTGATGACGTAGCCTTCCACTCCTGAGTGACTGCTGGTTTTCAGCATGTACCTGAAACAAAGGTAGAGTTGAGAGTCAGTCTGCTGCAGGGTGGGACAGGAGGAGATGTTTATGGAAGACAAGTGGAACTTACTGGAAAAAGTTGTACTTGGCTTCAGTGTTGAGCTTATCGATGCTCAGCTGCAGCACCTTCAGACCTCTGGTTCTCTGTGGGCACAGAAGGAAATATTAAAAGAATATCTATTATACAAAAATCCTCTAGAAAATAATAGATACAAATGAAGTGGGACCTAATTTAAATCCAAGCCATCGTTAAAGGGACATTTCAAATCAAATCAATGTGTTCCTCTTACCTACAGTGCTTCCTACTGTCTCTAAATTGTCTTAGTGTGAGTTGCAGAGTGTTAGAGTTGCCTTCCTCCCCCTCAAAGAAGAAACTAAATGGCACTCAGCATGTGGCGCTCAGAGCACCCAAAAGATTTTTTGAAAAACTTAATAGCAATGTCTCTTTTCAGAAATCTTGACCCAGTTACTGAAGATAATCTACAGAGCTTGTTGAGAACAGTTTCATACTGAATGACTTTGTAGATGAAAGCATGCCACACCCCCAGAGGTTCTCCTGAGCTAGCTGATGTACAGTCGGCAGAGGGGAAGACCATGTACATTAACCTTTATATCACTAAATAAATATTTTAAAAGAAAGCATGCGAGATTGGGGATGAATCTCCGAGTGCACTTCTAGTTACATGTGAAATAGCATTTTGATTCAAATTCACATGGAAAAAGCACATTTTACATGTGAATTATAAACAATGGGCGAAAGGGTTTACAAAAGTGTACACCTCATCCCGGTGCAGATGCATGCTACCGTCTTCCTGTTGGTAAGGTCAACAAGAAGGTCGTTCCCTAAATGAAACCGCCCAAATCAAAGTCTTTGGATTATCTTAAGTATCCGGGTCATCATTGCCATACAATCTCGATAGATGAAAAACATTACAGTTAGGAGGAGAAATATATGTTTTAGATTTTAGGGTGAACTGTCCCTTTAAGTCCATTATCTATTGCCTTATTGTTCAGAATCTGAATCAAGTTTATTGCCAGGTACGTTACACATACAAGGAATTTGATATGGTGTCTGGTGGTGCAAACATAAACATTCTAAGAGAATAAGTTGCAATAGTAGGTACAAAATATAGGTCATAAAATAAGTATTTTTAAGAAACTATTTCGCATTAAAAAATAACAAAGACAAGTATTTACACCAAATTGAAATTGAAATATACAAAGAACCTTAAAAGGTTAAAAACTAAAACACATAGGACAATGAATATATCGCAAACTACAGTATATTATATTGAATTACCGTATATATATTACACCTAATGTAGCCTTTGCACACGATTGCTAAATCATCTGCTAATGCGAAGACTTACCAAATCATGCCTCGTACATAACGTCATCACCTTCACCAAGTTCTGGAAACAAACAGGGAAATCAATCAGTGAGCATCATAACGCTGTGAGGGTCCCAGCAGAGCAACAGCTGATCCTGAATCACCTGAGGGACGGTGAGGAAGCTTCTGATCTCCAGCAGGTCTGCAGGCAGGCTGCCGTCCTCCACCCGCACCAGGCTCTTCTCATACAGCTCCTGAGATGGAGATCACACAGCATTTAGGTTAGACTGTGGAAGCTTAGTAATAAGAATGGATATCTTAAGATCCAGTTCTCTATAACAGCTGGACGAGTATCAGAACATTTTCATCCTTTTTTCTCTTGAAGCTACAAATCACCTGGGTTATATTTGAACAGTAACCACAATACAAATCTCGAGCATGTTGCAAAAAACAAACAAATAATCTTGAAATGTATGTTTCAGTTGAACTCACCAGTCCTTTCTGAATCCTGGACTCCTCAGTTCTGTCAATAAAAAAAACAAGTTATGAGGGTTCAGCTCAAACACAGCACACACCAGACATTAACCTGAAGAAGTTTGCATTTCTGCAATATAATAGTGGTTATGCTGTGGAAGCACCCTGATTATTTTATCTTGAATTTCATTAAGACTTTGTTTTTGATCAATCTCCTTCACATGGCTTTGTTCGGCTTGATGATGTACATTTTTGACAAAGTACATCCTCATTTATGCTTTATACATTGTTTTATGAAAGCTAACTATCATGCACACTGCCAGCGGTGCAGTAAAACTGAGCTAATGCTAATGAAATGATATTGGGTCTGTGTGTACTCACCTGGACAACAGCAGGTAGACGTGCTCCATGTTACACCGGAGAGCAAACACAGGACTGTGAACACAGAGGGTCAGGAGGGTTAACAATGCATCTTAATTCAGGATATTATTTTAAAAGGGTACTTTCTTTTATTTTAACCTGGACCCTATTTTCTTATGTCCTGGAATTTAAGAGGCTTTGCTGAGTTAGGTCCAGTATAGAGTGAAAGCGATGTGATGGCTCAGGAGAACATTTGCAACGTCAATTTAATCATTTCTTTAATAATATAAGTTTCACACAACCATGTCATTGTTTCATGTCACTTGTGGGCCAATGACAACTGTGGAATATGAGTGAGAGAGGGGCATATATCCACTCTCTGATAGTGTTACGTTATTATGAGAGTGCTCTCATACTTGTTTGAAATCTGAAATTGTATATATTTATATATATATGTGTGTGTGTGTTATGAACACATCTGTCCATCAGACAGAGGGCTGCTGTGCCTCCTGTCATCATTAATGGACGTCTATTTAAAATGACCGCTCAGAGGAGAGGAGTTCTCATTTCTCTAACCGCCTGCTGCTTCCCCTCCTCTCTCCTCAGTTCCCCTCCTCAGTCCTCCGCTCGCATCTCCTGTGGGCGGGACTAAGACACGAGGATAGGAGTCGATGAGGGGAGTCGAGGAGGGGAATTAAAGAAATGAGAAAGGGCCTAGGTGTTGTCAGAGTTTGTTGTTGAAGCGTAGCTGAGTTTTATCCAAAATATATTTCCTGGCTAAATATTCATCCGATTCTGACAATGTGGTTGCAACGCAAGATTGCAGAACGAGCGAGACTTGGTTAGAAACAGACTGCATCAAGTTGAAAGCTAAAGCAAACGTTTTATTTCTCAGAAATACAGATATTTTGTATATAATCTGTCTATCTGAGCCTGTCAGAGGCTAGGACCTATTTAAATAACTGTTGTCACCATAAGACACTTGGACATAAAAAAGTGAAGAAAAATGGGGTCCAGGTTGAAAGTCCCCCTTCTATTAGGTGTTTAAGCTGTACAAATGACCGTCAGTACTGTCCATTGTTCATATCTATCCACTTTGGAGGAAGCTCCTACAGGGCATCAGAGCCCTGACACCTCTATGACAGCAGATATTGCTCTCTGGTACCTGAAGACACTGGGGAAAGCGTCAGCCGCCAGGTGGTGGACGAACAGCAGGTGGGCCAGGCAGGCCAGAGACTCTTTGGGGTACCGCACCTCCTCCTCCAGGAAGCCCGGGACCTGCCTCCTCCTCAGCAGGGGCTGGAACACCAGGCTGGGGAGGGACTCGCCCACAGCACTCAGGCTGGTCTGACACACACACACACACACACACACACACACACACACACACACACACACACACACACACACACACACACACACACACACACACACACACACACACACACACACACACACACACACACACACACACACACACACACACACACACACACACACACACACACACACACACACACACACACACACACACACACACACACACACACGACGTACGACGACGTACGTACTACGTACGTACGTACGTACGTACGTACTACGTACGTACGTACGTACTACTACTACGTACGTACGTACGTACGTACGTACGTACGTACGTACGTAACGTACCTACCGTACCGTACCTACCGTACGTACGTACGTACGTTACGTTACGTACGTACGTACGTAC